GCGCGCACACACCCAAAAGCTGATAGCCGCTTTCCCCTGAGCAAAGGGACGAAATATTAAGGAATCAGGAGATATAATAATATAATAAAACTGGCTCATTCTGATTCAGACCAGCACTTGATCCAGTCGTATTTTGCACCTCGAATCTGATGCTCTCGTCCGTCCAGCAGGAGGAGACAGAGTTCAGATATCTGTCACTGGCGCTCAACGATCAGATCAAATACTGAGTAATACTCTTATCAAGCATCGAGCCCATGCAAATACTCACTTATGAATTCATAAAGGCATCTACAGTCGTGAAAGACAGAAAACAAAAGACGTGGACTGAATGAGAGCGCGAGAAACAGCTTGGACTTTTAGCTCACTTGCATCATTTTCATCCCGTATTTCAAAAACATGCACAGTCGGTCAGTCACACAAATAAATGACCCCACGAGAAACAAAATAAGTGCTTGGCTTTCAAGTATTTGTTTTACCAAAAAAACCCCAAAACAAATTCCCTTAAATTTGCTTTTAAAATAATGATGCTGAGGGGAAGAGAAAACCAGCAAGCGTAAGGAACCAATCAGATGTCACGGACAGCAGGAAGTAAACGTTGATCGCAGCGAGGCTCAGTCGAGTTTCTTCTGCTCTCTCGGGCTGAAGTCGGCGCAGAAGCCGTTGGTGGCGTGGGACGGGGAGCTGCTGCCGAACCCTGCGTTGTCTGAGTAGAGGTACTGCTCGGCGAAGTCTGGATGCTGATCCACAAACTCCCCGAAGCGCTCTGCCAGCAGGAGGCGCCAGAGGAACACGAGTCAGCAGGAGAGCAACACACTCACATCATGAACACATCTTCAGTTCAGCATCACATCTGACAGATCTACATCACAGCTGCATATCTCCACTGAACATATGGTTTTGTCAAGAGCAACTTACGGAGACTATAAGACAAAAACAGACCAGGCCGCACGTTTAAATACGTTCATGTTTTCAATATCTAAATGACCGTCGTGACACACTGCACCACTCGGCTACGACAGTAACCTCAAACACATCATTGTTAAACGGCATTAAGTGCTGAAAAAAAAAATTGCATCTAATTGCATTTGTTTTCCTGATACATTTTGCGATTGCAATTTAAAATGCGATTTAAAAAAAAGTAACAAATGTAAAAATCCAGTTTTGCTGTGCTTGTTTGTAAGGCTGCAAAATAAAAACCAACATAAATATTATTGTCGTAATATTTTCAACATAAACAAATCAGGTTCTTAAGAAAAATATAATAATACAATTTTATATTATTTAATCACAATGCAGTTATTGTTATTAATACTAAAATGATAAAAAACTAAATAAAAACAAAGTAATAAGTACTAAAATTGCAAAATTCCACTGTAAAACAAAAATTGAGGAAAAATAATAATAATTTTACATTATAACAGTAAAATTGCAATACTAATATTTATGGCTTGTTGCATGTTAATGACTGAATCCTGCGCGGCTCGTGTGTAAACGAACACAGTGCCGCGCTTCACTCTGAAACATGCAGTGCATTTACATTTAATTCAATCACAGCAATTTAATAATCGTACAGAGTCAAACGGTGACTTCCGTTTTGTTTCAGTTAATTGTGTGTTAAATAGAAGCATTGACATTATATCTGTCATGCACGCAAACCTAGGTGACGTCAAACTGCAGCGCTCCGGGAAGAAGAACGGAGAACGCAGCTGTGATGCTGACTCTCATGCAGGAATACGAGCGCTTCTCTTACCGAAGGTGATTTTGCCCGAGTCCTCTTCATCGACGGCTCTGAACAGACGGCTGACCTTGAGCTCTCCGAGGCCCAGCGCCGTCCTCAAGATGCACACCAGCTCGTTCTCTGTGATCGCACCGTCCTCCTCCGCCTCAAACATCTGAAGACATCACACAAACCAGCCTCAGAGCTCAGCATCACTCATTCAATCATTGCATAAGCCTGTGATAATCACCTGGAAGGCCAGCCTGATGGTGTCCAGTGTTTTTGCAGGCCGACACACCACAGAGAAGGCGATCACAAACTCCCGGACGTCCATCGAGTGGTCTTCGTTCTGCTCAGAAAGAGACGAGACCGAAATATCGCATGCATCTGTGTGGCTGGGATATGAATTAGCAAGAAAGGCCTGATTTACCTCGTCAAAGAGCGCGAACGTGTGTCTGAGCTCGTCTGACGCGGGCAGCTCGAGGAACCGGGCGAAGTCCTCCAGACTCAGTCTCTGATCCTGCAGTTCACGAGCGCGCTTCCCATAATCCTGCAGGAGCTTCTCCGAGTTCACACGCTTCAGCCTGACATTCAACACGAGCAATGCATCCAGCATCAGCACAGCGGCGCAGAAATCACACAAGCACACAGTTCAGTCAGAGCGCAGTCGGCTGCATGAGCCAGAATGTCATGCAGATGTTGAATGAATTCATCAAGAGCAAATGAAAAACTAATTTCCAATGCAAAAATGACAACCTAAAACTAAAGAATCTGGGGAAACATAAAGAGGATGCATAGGGCCCTAAATGCAGTGGTCCTCTGCAGGCTGACTCTGTAACGATAACCAGACTCACCCCAGAGCGCGCAGCAGCTTAGCGAACTCCAGCAGAGCCGTGTCGATGGGCAGCCGGATCGGAGCCTGCGCCGTGGCCAGCTGACAGTCCTCGAACGAGTAGTCTGTGACGGGGACCTGCAGGGCCCTTCAGACACAACACATAATAATACAATCTTTGTTTTTTCCTGCATTACAGTCATGAGAATTAGGGTGCTTATTTTTTTTTTTTTTAAATGAATAATTATTTAAATTAAAAAATGTACATGATTATTGAAATAGGATTTTTTTTTATACAATGTATGCATTTATTTAACTTGGGCCTGTTGTATAGTTTTCTTTACTCAAAAATAAATTGAATGCAGTAATGAGAATACACTACGAGATTAATACTGATTAAATCAAGTAACTGATTTACAGAGACCGCCCTAAAATAGGTTCTAATGTTCTTTATGCAAAACATAACTTATTTTCATTCATTCATATTTAGTTTTTAGGATATGTTCTTCACAGGTTTTGTGAGATTCATCCATACAGGCTAAATGAAATATAAAACTCTCTGCAAACAGGTTTTCTGCTTACGGAGAATTTGTCATTTAAAATTCTAAAAAACCTTAAATACTAAAGATAAACAAACAAAAACAACAACAATAATAACGCTGTACATTATACACTACACAGTAATTTGGACTTTTTCTTTCTTATTAGTGACTCTGCAGCACAAAAGCAGTGTTAAGTCGCTGGGGGATATTTGTAGCAATAGCCAACAATACATTGTATGGGTCACAATTATACATTTCTCTTTTATGCCAAAAATCATTAGGATATTAAGTAAATGTTCCATGAAGATATTTAGTAAATGTCCTACCGTAAATATATCAAAACTTAATGTTTGATTAGTAATATGCATTGCTAAGAACTTCATTTGGACAACTTTAAAGATGATTTTCTCAATATTTTTTTGCACCCTCAGATTCCAGATTTACAAATATTGTTCTATTCTAACAAACCATACATCAATGGAAAGCTTATTTATTCAGCTTTCACGTGATGTATACATCTCAATTTCAAATAATTGACCCTTATGACTGGATTTGTGCTCCAGGGTCACACATGTGGACAGTAACTAAACACATGACAGCAGGTAATCAAACTAATATTTAAACATCTTTCTGCACATATTTTCTGAAACACAGACAGAGACTGAGGCCGTGAGGGGCGCCGAGATCTTACTTTGCCATCAAGCGGCGCACGTTGTGAGCGAAGAGCGCTGGGTTCTTCTTCTCCTCCTCTGAGGGCGAGTAAATGGGCAGATACTGAGAGAAAGAGAAAAGCACACTGAAGCCTCGTCTGTGTGCATCAGCGCATCGCTTAATGACTTCTAATGACAAGAGTCTGGAGGATCTGCACTCCACAGAACAGACGCAGATGCACGGATACGAGCGCCTGATCAGAACATCACTGATACTCAGCTCATACGTAGAGTCCGACGACACCTCGCGAGTCTCGAGGAGAATATCCTAAATTCCAGTTAGCTTTAGTTTCTTACTTTCCTCAAATTTTGCTGTATTTTTTCCCCATCTCAATTCTTCTGGACTCTGTTTGGTTAACGGCTAAATTAAATTTCAGCAATCAAAAAAGCATGAAAACAAAAATGTTTAAAAAGTTTTTAATTGTTTTAATTAAATTGTAATCATCAAAAAGCAAGCCTGATCAATAGTTTGTAAAACTTTAATATTTTAAATAATAGGGCCCTATTAAATGTTTTATGTGTTTTTTTTTTTTCTGAAATTCAGTGTTGTCTATTTTTTCTAGATTTATGACGTAATACAAATACATGAAGAAGAAAAAAAAAACAGTATCAAACAAATCAAGGCATTAACAGTTTAATGAATTTCTTCATTTTATGTTTTGTCAAACAAAGTTCTGCACTGTTACTTTTTTACTGATCAATTTGGAACATGCAAGAAAATAGTGTGATATTCCTTAAAATATAACATTGCATTATTATTATCATTACATGGAGATGCAAATTCTAATGTGAAATAGCAGTATATTTCTTATTTTGACGGGTTGTAGTGAAGATCTTTGAGTTTCTGTGACTGCTAATGTAAATGCTCAGATGAAGATCATGTGCTCATACGTGAGCGTCGCGTGTGTTTCAGTGTGTGTAGAGCCGTGCTTTAATATTCACACACACTCGTTTGATTCACTGTACAGACTCTGATTTATTCATCCTAAATTCTGAGACATCGTAGGTCTCTATCCAGAAACCGCTGCAAAGCTCACGGACCCTCACAACACGCAGACATAGACACGAGCTCTCTCATCTCTCGTGCGCTCTTCAGAAGATCTCAAAGTCTTCTACAGTTATATCTCCAGATGACAAA